CATGGGCACATGGGCACATGGGCAAAGCCAATTTATTGGTTCCGTACTTCAAACCCAACAGGAAGTCGACGTTGTTGTTAAACATACTCCTCCTACAAAACTGATCGGATCGACTTCAGATTGGGTCAGTGCACTCCAGAGACGTCCACAGTGACGAGTTAGGTGTGTCTGTGGCGTGGCATGGAAAACCGCCATGAAACAGGAAGTTGTTGTAACTTGAGTATAATGTGCGTAGCTTCGGACCGCTGATGAGTGTGATCAGTGTGTGTTTATCTCAGCGGAGGGTTTAATGAATAAAGTTTGAGCCGGCTCTGGGTGACTGAATACGGGTCTTTATAATGCGTCTGAAGTGATGGAGAGGTTCAACAGCCTCCTCCTGTTTCTTTCTTTCTTTGTGGTTCTGTCATTAATACTTCCCCCCCGTGTAAATGAACAGATTTAGCTCTGCTGCTCAGCTGTAAACTTCCTTATTTGACTTGTCGGCATGAAGCTATTTATACCGAAGCTGGGGACTCTTTTTGGAGGCGTCAGACGGCTGTTTGTCGCTCTCTGACATTCCCGCTGTCTGTCATCTCTGAGCTCTGAGTAGGAAATAACCGCCAGCTGAGACAGTCCACCTTAACAGCCAGTCTGGCCACCAACCAGCTATCACTCACTTTTATTCCAGAGCTGCGGTTTCCAACCGTTTTGGCTTCTGACCCCTTAAAATAAAGCAGTGTCTGCTTGCAGCCGCTGTGTCACAGGCGTCAGATATCTGTGAGCTGAGTTTCACCTCCACATTGTGTCTGTCATTTGAAGAGATATCCAAGAAAAAAATATCCAGTATTGCACATTGTAGCCGGATGGTCAGTAACAGGTATTACAAAACAAAAAACGGTTATAGATTTTCGTTTTGACATACAAACATTAAAATCAAGAGAAATTTAAAAGGTGATTTTCATTTTCTATTTTGTTTAAACAAAAACTAAAATTACTAAAAAGCAGAAACAAGATAGATCTATTGTCAGATATATAATATCCAGGTGTGTTTAATCAGCTGAATATAACAATCTTTGTGTTTGTTAGAGAATGAGAGTTTTTAATCTACAGAGGTAGCGGGTCCTCTTCTGATGGAGTCCGCCATGTTTATTGTTCAGTGCTCCGGTTCTGTGGCTCATTCGGGCCCCGCTCCCCGGCAGTATTCCCCACTGGGTCCCTCTGCTGCTACACTAGCAGTGTTTAAACTCCCCCTGTCCTTCCAGCTCTCAGTCTGGGTACAGACAGCTAACAGGGCCGCTAACTAGCTAATAGCAGCTAGTACAGTTAGCATATTTCCGCAGTGCAGCGGTCAGAGACTTCCTGTGTTGAAAGTGAAAAGGTCCCTGTTGCAACAATCCTCTGATACTTTGGTCCCGGGGACGAGGAGCAGCTCCTGAACGCAGTTTAACGTTGGTTTGGTTTCTCTGAGACTGTCAGACTGATGGTTGGGACCACTGTTAGTGGGGCAGCCGTGGACTGTTTGTTAGTTTTGGTATTTTAAAGATTTTAAAATGTAGACTTTTACCACCAATTACTGTCTCGTTATAGTGACTGGGTATTCATCCTACAATCTCAAACTAACTGCAGAAGTTAAATCCACGGACTCACGTCTGAAATGCAGTGAAGTAGAAGTAAAATGTTTGTATGGAGCAAACTAGAGTAGTGCAGTAAATGTACTCATTCCACCGCTGACAGATGGTGTAGAGGCTGCAGTCTGCTGCAGCTCAGCTGAATGTTTGTGATTCCCGGAGGACTTTCTAACATCAGGCAGCATTCTTCCCTCCAGAAAACACGTGTCCCGGCCGAGGCGTTCCACACCGGCACAGAGCTGCACATGATTGATAGCAAACAAATGTTCTGTACAGTTTAAACAGTGTTGACTCAGCCGAGAACCTGCATGAGCTTCCTGGACGGGACAGTCTGAAGGGCTGCAGCTGCCGGACGAATGATACAAGTTAGTATTCTTCATGAATCATAAAGAGAGAAAGCGGGGCGTTACCGGGCAGATAACTGACGGGCTGAGAAAGCAGCTGCACAACAGTTTTAAACAATGACGATCCTTCATCAGAGCCAGAAACAGGGCGTCTGCCAAACAGACATCGTACTGCAGCTACAGCTGAGACTGGAGCTGGTTCTGGTTCCTGACTGAACCATGTCAACGTTTTGATCAGATTTTTTATTTAGATTTATTTGATCAGCTGGTTCAAATCAACGGGCCGGTTGTATCAAGATCACAAAACGATGATTATTCAGTGATCGTTCAAGGCTGCGAGGCAACAATTTGTGAGCACCAATTAAAGTTTGAGCTGAACCAACCAGAAGCAGGCAAATAAAAGGGCCCTTGCATTAAAATCTAGCTTTAGAGACTTACTGATTTTAGTTCATACCGAGCTCACGTGATGCATATTAACTTGGAGGTAAACATGAGCATTTAACCTTTCAACTCACATTAAACTTACCGCCACCTCTGGTGAGCCTGGTTGTACCCACTGTTGAGGTCAGCTGTATTTTTTCCCAAGGACCATACAATAAGAGGTGTGAAATAATTGTCTAAAAGTTACTTTTTGTCTACCAAAAAACCCTGCCACGTTCAGTTTTTGGACATATCTGGACTAATAAAATTAGGGTTAGGGGTATGTTATGTTTAGGGTTGTGCTGAATTAGGGTACTGGCACCTTTTTTGGTCCAATTCGGGCCCTGTTAGTGCTAGTGGAGTTCGTCTACAACAGATTAATGACTCTTTCCGTGAGGAGTACGTTTTTGATCGATGGGGTGGAACGCTGCCCCAAACTTTATGACCCTGCGAGCTGGCTCCACCATCCAGAGGCATTAAAAAGAGTCAGTTGTGGTAGTTTAGCATCTGATTAGGACGTCCCCTGGATGACTCTGACCCCAGACCTAGAACATGCTGCAGGGACTGTATATCACATCTGGCCTGGGAATGCCTCGGGATCCTCCAGGAACAGCTGGAAGGTTGCCACCGCAACCTGGACCTGGATAAACAGGGTTTATTTGTACGCTCAGTATGGAAGCAGATTGGTGCTGAGCTGGATCAGTTCATCTGTGAGCCACATTCTCTGTGTCTTTTGTTCCTTTGTCGTCTTTGTTGTACTTTTCAACCTAGTAATAGATTATAAGTGTGCCTTAATTGGCTGCCAAAGCACCACCAGCCCCCATGAGTCCATCAGTAGCTTTTCATGGCTGTTTGGACTATTATGACTCATGTGTCTCAAATGGATGGACGGAAGTTGCGACCCACTCCCGACAAGCAGCAGAGAGCAGATCGATTGTAACCCCTACAATGCTACATCAGAAAAGTCTAAAGTAACAATAAACACGATTAAAACAGAGAAACAATTTAACTACGTAGACCCATTGTAGCAGCACTGATATCAAGAATAAAAAAACAAAAACCAACATCGGGCAGGAAGAAGCTCTGAAGACAGTGACGGAGCCAAATATGTTGCCTCTCAGCCCACCGCCCACTACCTTGTTGCATTTTTAAAATATAAGGGGTTTGTGTGCAAGACGGGAGAGCATTGAATCAATCTTAGTGGTAAAACTGGTAAATAACTGACAGGAGTCACAGCGTGGAGCGATTGGTGGGTGAATCAGAAACCTGTTCCACATTCCCAACAGTTATACAAGGATTTAACATCAGTGTGCAAAGTCACAGGAGGAGGCAGAAGAGTAGGTGGATGATAAATGTACAGTGCGTCCGACCTGAACAGGATTTAAAGAGAGTCTGAGACCTTTTAAATCCTTCCACCTCTGCAGTTTATGTGCAGATTTATTTCCTCTAACAGGAGGCCAACAGGCTGTCAGCAGATATTTTAACAGTCTCCTCTAGAGGTTGAAAGTCGGAACACTTTTTGAAGAGAACATGGAAAGAGAAGGACATTTATTCACATGTTCCCTGCCATATCAGAAATGGATTAACATTTATACAAGTGTTCCCACTTTCCTGTGGGCTGCTGGTCTGGACAGACTGTGGTTTCTGTTCTGAGCTGTGTGTTTGTCTTCAAACAGCTGCTGTGAGCTCTCACTCTGCTGAGTAAAAACCTCAGATAAGCTTCCTG